TTTCATCATGTGGGAAGCAAATTCAGGTCAGTAGTGTTGGCATCAAGCCGTTTTCTCAGCTGATCCATCTCCCTGACTCTATTTATACATTTTGAGAAATTTATGAGTGTATGTTTGTGGGAGTAGCCTGTGTGTACATTTATATGTGTGAGGCATGCATGATGCCTGTATCAGCTTGGCTGTCATCAGTGTGTGTGTGTGTGTGTGTGTGTGTGTGTGTGTGTGTGTGTGTGTGTTTGGAGAAGTCATGGGTGTGTGGATTTATAGGAGGCTGGTGTGGCAGGGGGGTTGTGGATGTACTATGGTGCCTGTGTGAAGCTCTTGCATGTCTAGGTAGGTCTGGCACTGAAGAAGGCTTCACCCCAAGTATCATGTATCAAGCCACGCCCAATGGTTTGGGCTCCACCTACCTTGCCCTGGTCCTTCCCATTGCTTTCTCTTGCTCACCTCCTAAGCTGCCCCTTCCTATGCTATGTCTCTTTCCACCCTGACCTCCCCCCACCCCTTCCAGCACTGGCTCCATTCACCTTGATAATGGCCCCTCCCCTTCACTGTGCCTGCCCTCCATGGACTTTACTCCCATCTCTCTGCTTCCAAAGCTTCAGCCACACCCAGCCTCTATTCCAGCCTCCAGCCCCTTGCCCCATGCCCCACACCCCACACCCTGCCCACCTCCATGAGGTTATTGCTGTATACTTGGTGGCAGACGGCATTTTAATATTCTTATCATAGCACTCACTAATCTTCCAGTCTTATGGCCGATGTTAATTAATTCATAGATTTATTAATCAATGCATATCAAATATATCATTGTACCTTTTTACCTAAAGCTATTAAATTTCATACAGAATCACATGCTAAATGGAGTGCCTTAAAAAAGAAAATTTCCATTAACTCAAAAAATGGCAAAATTTCACATTGTGAAAATTGTCAAACTTTTCATAGGTCTTGATTGTCTTCTGATAAATACCCCAGAGGTAATATATTGAATGAGATATAGCAAATGGATGTAATGCACATGAAAATATTTTGGTAGCTGGGTGGTGGTGGCCACCACCTTTAGTCCTAGCACTAGGGAGGCAGGGGCAGTAGATTTCTGAGTTCAAGGGCAGCCTGGTCTTCAACTGAGTTCCAGTACAGCCAGAGCTACATAGAGAAATCCTGTCTTGAAAAAGGAAGATTTTGATAGGTTGCAATACATACATCATTGTTTTGATAGATTTTCTACATTTCATTTGGCCACTGCATTAAATAAAAATGTTTCATCTGTTATATTACATTTTTACAAAGCTTTTAATATCATGGATATTCATCAACAAATTAGATGGAAAATGTTCCAATTTATATGTCACTAAAATTTCAAAAAATTTTTTACAACCTTGAAATATTAAACATATTACTGACATCTTATATTCCTTAAGGACAGGCCATCATTGAAAGATCAACAGAACATTAAAGCATGTTAATTAAACTAAAAGGGGGGAAGCCCTTAATTTTGCCAACATCCTATTCTACTCATTATTTACTTTAACTTTTTTGAATTGTAATGATAATTATCATCTGCCTGCTAAAATTCATTATTAATGTATTATTGGGGAAAATATTGAGGGTGTTGTACTACAACCTATTTGGTATAAAGAGGAAGAATCTTTACATTGGAAAAAAGAAATGTTATAAATGAGGGGAAAGGGTATCCTTATGCTTCCATAGATACAAGTAATGGTTAGATTTTTAGACTGCCGAAATTGAGAGATGAGTAAGTGGCCACAGCTAGTTACCTTTACTTGCCTACCGGACAAATGGCTCATATAACTTTGAGTCAAACTCCCAAAACAATTACCAAACTATCCCCTTCCACAGAGAATTGTACCTTTCCTACCTGAGGGCAGATGAAAAAATTAGCCAATGAAGGAGAAGAGATGGTTCTTATATGGGGTAAAATAAACACTTGAATCCTTGTTCTTGTCCCTGTTAGCAGTCACCACTGCTCAAGTAAGTAAAGCAAAGAATTTTTCTTATTGGACTTCTATTCCTAACCCTCCCTTAAACCCAGTAGTGCACTGGTAGGATCCCAGTATTCCAATTTATACTGACTAATTAGATTCCAGGACCTGGTGACAGTAGAGGTCCTTTGTTCCCCAATAAAGAGGGCTTAGATTTGATTTCATCTTATGATATGGGGATGCACTTCCTATCTTTATTGGGTATGAAGTTCATTGTGTGAAAGTCATATCTAGGGGATAGTTCTAGGGAACAAAAAATGAAGTGAAGAAGACCATGTTCATTTTAGTAGCTAAAGGGTTTAAAGGGAATAATACTACCAATCATTTCATTCCACCTCATTTTCTCCCTTGCAACACTGCTGTTGTCTCAGAGTTAAGTGAATAGATACATTGGGAATAATGCAGAGGACCAGAGGTTCACAGTTTTATTAATATATCCTATGGTAGTGCCAGAGATCGGAGCCATGTAGGTTCTGCTCACACCAAATGGGAAAGCAAAGAATTAAGATGGGGTTCAGTTCCAAATTTTGTATTATTCTATTTAATGCTGAAGACATCCTTTGTAAGAAATCTGTGAAGGATTCTCTGGGGTATTGTATAACCTTTGTAAATGACTCAACTTTTTTTCCTTCTTCCTCAATTCTGTCCCACACATTCATGGCTGCCATGTGGCATAGAATTAGGGTTTAGTTATCATAAACATTGTCTTTGTATATAAGCATAATCATTCTCTTCAAGAAGCTGATCCTGAGAAATTTCCACACCTCTAGTCCTACATTGTTGTTCTATCGTTTTAGCCTCCTCTTTAAACCAGGTTCTCCACTGTAACTATGGACTGGCCTCTAGGACAGCTGTAATTAATTCTTTCCAGTCCTGAGGGATAATTCTATTACAAGTTGACCATGAGTTTAACATGTGCTTTACAAATGGACAATGCATGCCATACTATACTGTACTTCTTTAAATACTATATAGTATCTATCTATCTATCTATATATATATAGATAGATAGATACTATAGATACTATAACTTCTTTAAATCTTCTTAAATCTAACATTTCCACTGGAGTCCAGTTAGCTTATACATGAGCATTTGGAAGTTCCTGTAAGGTTACTGGATAGATTAAATTTGGTTGTTTGAAAACAGGCTGCCTCTTTGTAACTGTATAATTCAATCCTGAGATAATTTCACCTTTATATTATTGTGTCTGAGTCTGAATTTCTCTATGATTCATTTTAACAGGTTTTTCTAAAGCTTTTATCTCGGCACTTAAATTGACCAACCTTGTTAATACTAAATAAAAATGATCAGGCAAATAATATTCATAATTGATGTTATGCATATCCCATCAACATCAATTATCTTCTCATTTAATTGTTCCATTTTCAGACTGCCTAATGTGTTATCAAACAGAGACCAAATTCCTTCCATTGTAAAAGTGTTTCCCACTTTTTAATGTGGGAAAAAATTCTCTTTTAATTAATTTCATCCTTTAAGATATCTTACTTGACTTACCAAATCTGTCAGCTGCAAAGAACCATAGAAGTCCGAGGGCATTTCAAAGCAGCTACTTAGTGTGGTGGCAGTCTGAGATGGGAATCTGAAGGGAGCCCACCACCCACCAGGAAAAAGAAAGCCAAAGACAGTCCAGCCACATGCTCCAGCCTGAGCGTGTAATCGGGCCTGAGCCAGCGGCCCTGTAAGCCCGTAAGCAGCTTTTTAATGAATTCTTGCCACATTCATTGGGTGCCAATTATAGATGAATTTGTAAATGGTTTTATTAAATAAAAAACACGGACCCAATTACAGGGTGACAACCTTAGAGAGATCAAGGAAATAGGGAAAGCCACCAGCCAACCTTACCTCATCAACTCTGCAGCATCCAAATATGAGTTACTTCCTGTCTACCCAGGTCTATATGCCTTGCTGTTCTGCCTTCTGATTTGTTCTTTCTATTCATCTACATCACTTCCTCTTCCTGCACTTCCTGTCTGTACAGACCTCCAGAGCTTCATAGTTAACTAGTTTTGAAATTTAAGGCATGTGCTACCACACCTGGCTCTGTTTCCAGTGTGGCCTTGAACACACAGAGATCCTGCCTGCCAAGTGATAGGGTTAAAAGCGTGTGCTAACATTGCTTGACTTCTGTGTTGTGGATGGCTTTTCCTCTGATCTTCAGGCAAGCTTTGTTTATTAAAGCACAAATAAAATATCACCATAGTAATCCTAAAAAGGAAAAGGTGTATAATAAATGACTAATGGTATTTGAGGTCATTTTGCCTTTGTGAGCAGAAGTAATAATCTTATTTGAATAGGTATCTACTGCTAGGTGAACATATTTTAAATGGTCAAATTCTGAGATATGAGTATTATCTGTTCACCAAACCTTGTTGGATTTTAACTTCTGATGATTAATTCTGCTGGCAGATGACAACAGAGTAAAGGAAGAACAAGGACAGGTCCTGATAATTTTCTGAGCTTGCTCACAAGGCAAAGAGAATTGTACTTGTAATGATTTTACATTTTGCTGAAAAAATTTGTGAGATTTTTTTTGAGTGGCCTGAAAAGAAAGAACTTGGGGCGAGGAAGAGGCCAGTCCCTTGGCTTAGGCATTGGCAGATGTTAATGGACCTTGCAAATAAGAATGAGCAAGAATGAGTTATGAAAAAAATGCTGAATTTGTTTTTGTATAGATGTCTGAAGAGAGACAAATTGTTGTAAAATAACACTAGTATTGTGGTTGGTTTCAAGTCTTGCAGTTTCTAATAGAGGAATTGTTTGAGCACATTATACAGAGTCCATTAAAATATTCAGTGGTTGGGAGATGTCTAATATCAAATCTGTATTAGTCTCAGTTCTTTAGAGTAACAAAACTTACAGGAGGATTATACATACATATATGTATACACACACACAGAGAAAGGGGATTTATTGGAATGACTTTTAGGCAGCAGGAAATGAATCTAACAATGGCTGGCTGTAATTGGAAATTCTAGGAATGCAGAAGTTGCTCAGTCCATGAGTGTCTATGAATCTGCTGGTCTTCAGTAAACCCTTCCATCTGGAAGAAGTATGCTGCAATGCCAGTGATGAAACAGACTTAATACAAAGGTGAGGGAAAGAGGGCAAAGAGTGAAAGCTTCTGAAGGTGTGACCCAGAATAATGATGTGTCTTCTGGCTTCAGGATGCAGGTTAAAGGCCTATGTGTTTCTAGCTTGCAGATTCATATTATGAGTGTACCTACCTACTTTAAATCAAGAAAAGAAAACCCTCACAGGTGTGCCCTCCATTTTTGTATTTTAGTTCATTCCAAATGTGATCAAGTAGACAACCAAGAATAGTCATCACAGGGAGATAGGATGCAGGGACTGACTGGGTCAGGATCCACTCAGTAGATACAATGCTGAACTCAGAGTCATGCTTTGCACAGTAAGTGTGCTTTTCCCTGTGAGCCATTCTCCCAGCTCCTTATCTTTTTAGGTTATTTACACAATACCCAGCATTTCCACTCCATCCTAGGCTTTTCTTATGCATATCATTTGTTACATGGAGTGCAGGTAGAAAAAGGTTCCCAGTCTTTCTCTGACAACTGACTTTCCTATCCTTCCTTCCTTCTCTCTCCCTCCCTCCCTCCCTTCCTCCCTTTCATCCTTCCTTCCTTCCTTTTTTTTTTTTTTTTTTGCTCTTTTTGTAGAGTTAAGCACTGTATATAGAACAGAACGGGGTCCCACCTGTCATCTTTCTTTCTCTTTTTTTTTTTTTTTTTTTTCTGACAAGGTCTGATGTAACCCAGGGCTAATAGTCTGACTACTAAAATAACTCAGCTGGAGAGAAATGTTCAGCTGTTGTTACCAAGGTTTTCAGAAGAAAAGTGTGACCTAGGTAGGCCCAGCTGGCTAGGCTCTGCTAAGGGTCCACCATATGCAAATGGAAGAGACTAGAAAAGGTAAAGAATAGGGATGGAAATTGAACCCAGGTGTGGTTCTCAGGGCTTAAGTTCTAACCTGTAAATGGAAGAAGCAGCCAAAATGCAAAGTCATCCCTCTGCTACTGTGATGTGAAAATGAAATTCTTCTTTGTAGCTGAGGATAACTCCAAACTGCAATCTCCTGCTGCTGCCTCCTGTGTGCTGGGATGACAGTCATGAGTTGTTATGCCTGCTTTGGCCATACTGATGATGGAACCTAGGGCTCTGGGAAGGGAACCATGTAATGCAGGGTGCTCTCCTCTGGACCCTAGACTAGGCACAGACCACACTCAAACACCAATTTCCAAACACAAAACAAATGCAGAGATTCTTTATTAAGGAAGGCAAAGTGACAGGTGGCTGAATCTAAATTGGGCAGAAACAGTGCAGTATCTTGGCAAGTGTTTGTTTTAAGAGAAAAGAAATATGTGTTAGAATAAACTAGGATACAATGGTAAGTTCTATTTGGGTATTTTAATTAGGTTAGTCAAAATAATGAATTTTTATCATGGGACATTGATGTTTTAATAGTTGGACTTTGGTGATCAGTCACAGAAAGGAGTCAGTGGCCAAAAAAGGAATAGACTTTGGTGGTTAGCTTTAGGAATATGTGATAATTTTGCAGGGTGTAGAAAGGTAAATTCTGTAGGCACCATATTTGGTATACTCTGACCTGTGTTTGGCATAGTCTGGCCTGTTAGAGTCCTTCACTGGGAGCATCCTAGCCAAACAGTCTCAGCCCCATCCCCTGGCTTCTTTCATATGTTAGTCTTAATGCCTTTCTCCACATATCCCCATATTCTTTACATAATGTTAATGTACCACACTTGGCCATTTGTCACGACAAATTTGTCAATGACATTCTGAGTTCTTTTCAGGAAATACATAATTGAAAATATGTGGAAGTAGTCCTACCTCAGCTATTAGTTCATTGTTTTTAAGATGTGGAAACTGGGCATCTTGGCTCATGCTTGTGCTTGCACTTAGAATGCTGAGGCAGATGGTTTCCTGAAGTACAGCCCAGTCAGTAGTACATTGTGCATCCAGGCTGGTTTAGACTACAGTGTAATATCCTGTGAACTAATAATAAATGAACAAATGGAGAAAATGGAAAGAGTCTAGCGTTTCTGAACAGTGAGCTCAGAATTTGTTTTATCTTGGTGACTTGGGGTTGCTGTCAAGACCATTGATACTGCCTGAGTAAGAAAGAGCATTGCCTTAGGTGAACACATAGCTAAGAACTTGATATTTTTACATTCATGTATGTATGTATATATAAATTTTTCTTTGTTCTGGGAGGACACATGTGTGTGCACACATGCAGCAGGTTGGGAAGTGGCTGTATATGCAACAGTTTACATGTGGAGTTCAGATGACAGTGTCCATGAATTGGTACTATATGGATTCCTAGATATGAACTCAGTTCATTAGACTTGGCTGTAGTTACCTTTAAGCAATCTTGCTGGCACAGGAGTTAAGACTCAAATTTCTTCTTTTCTTGGCGTTCATAAGCAATCAGTTTCAATGAAAAAATAGTAAAGTCAGACACTCATTATAGTGTTTCTACCTTCTTGATACATAATTCACACAAGTGAAATTTGGTGTTTTAATCGGTTTGGTTCAGCATTGACACTACTTTACGTAGCCATGACTGCTCTAATTCCAAAAGCACTGGATCATGGGAGACCTTGTCTTTAAAAACAAAAGTTTGGAGGCTGTGTTGGCACACCCCTGTGGCCCCATTAGAGGCAATGAAACCTGGGAGAAAGGAGCAGATGAATGAGGTAGACTAAAATCTCACTCAATAGCCAACTTTATTCATAGCCCCAGACAATTTAAACTGAAGGATGAGTAAATTAAAACCATATACAGTGCCCAGGACAATCCAGACATGGAAAACATGTGTTTCAGTAGAGGCATATATAGTTACTTAAGTAACAGCAGCAAGCAGTAATGAGTAATCTGAAGTAAAAGTACTCCAATCCTTACACAGAAGGCTGGAAAGGTTTTTTGTTTGCTTGTTTGTTCTTTTTTTGGTTTTTCAAGACAGAGTTTCTCCATGTGCTTTTGGTACCTGTCCTGGATCTTGCTCTGTAAACCAGGCTGGCCTCAAACTCACATAGATCCACCTGGCTCTGCCTCCTGAGTGCTGGGATTAAAGGTGTGCACCACCACCGGCCGGCTAAAAGGCTGGAAAGTATTAATGTTTAGGGTACCAATGTGCAGCTGAGAGGTGTGAGCAATCTTAGGCATGCCTTACTGAAATTGCTGATGTCTGGTAAATATCCATCATGTGTTTCAAACTTGATCTGAATGGGCTGGGGGCCTCTTCATCTGTGAGGCAGGGGGATTACTCCACTGCACATTGAGTAACGATTGCTGTATGCAAAACTCCCTGTTTTTTTGTGTCCAGGAGGAAGAATGGGAAGTGCCTATTGAGTGCAGAGATAGTTCAAGGAAGACTTTGCAGTCCAGGTTCTGCTGCAATGCTAAGCTCTGCAGGCCTGGGACAGTTCTGTGCCTCGGGTGGGAGCCAGGGCTGGGAACCACTGTGCTATGTCCCTTCATGGCACTCTGTCTCTAAGGGTGCTGCTCCTGTCACTCAGTTCTCATTGGCCCATGAGGGCCTCCAGACAGACCACCAGTCAGGATAGGGAGGACACTTCCACTCCACCATGCTTCAGGCCTGGTTCTGGCACTATGAGGCTCTCTTGGTTCTTTGGGTTTTCTTGTGAGGAGAGCAGATCGAGCTAGGAATCCATACCATGGTGTGGGAGGGACTGTTGTCCCCACATGGGGAGGAGCCATGGGAGTCAGTGTGTGACCCTCCCAGGGCTGTGGGAATTGGCAGTGGGATTTCACACCCGATAAAGTCCCTTGAGGTGCCTTTGGTCCTATGAGATCACGACATGTCCTAGTGGTCCCCTGTTGCCCCTTGAGGCCCCGTGAGGTCTCTTGACACATGGTGTTGTTCCTGCCACTCCTGTATCCGTGCTGGAGCCAGCAGTCTCTGAATGACGTCACTCCATGGGCTGCTCCAGGCTAAGAACGTGATATTTTTACATTCATGTATGTATGTATGTATGTATTTATCTTCATTTATTCTGAGTAGGCATATGTGTGTTTAAAATTATTTTCTTAATTAATTAAAAAATAATACTTTTATTCCAATACCACATGATTTTTATTTCTATTCCTCTAGAGTACAACATGGAGTCTGGAATGATGAGACCTTCAGCTGTTCTTTTATTGTTCAGGATTGCATTGCTGTCCTAGATTTTTTGTTTTTACATTTGAAGTCAAGAATTGTCCTTTCAACATCTGTAAAGAACTGTATTCAGACTTTGATGGGGACTTTGCATTGAATATGTAGTTACTTTTAGTAGGATGGTCATTTTTATTATGTTAGTCCTACTAATCCATGAGCATGGAGATCTTTTTATCTTCTCTCGTCTTTAATTTCTGTCTTCAAAGACTTGATGTTTTTATCATTCAAGTCTTGCTTCCTTGGTTAGGGTTACCCCAAGATATTTTGTATAATTTGATACTATTTTGAAAGTGGTCATTCCCCTGCTTTCCTTCTATTGAGTAGTCCTTTAATCATTTGTTCATAGGAGAGCTACTGATTTTTGTGAGTTAATTGTGTATCCAGCCACTTTGTTGAAAGTGATTTGTTTTAGCCATAGGAGCTCCTCTGTGTAATTTGTAGGGTCACTTTCATATAGTATCACATCATCTGCAAATAAAAATACTTTGACTTCTTCCTTTTCCATTTGTATTCCCTTGATCTCTCTCGGTAGTTTTATCCTCCTAGCTTAGACTTCTAGCTCTATATTGAATAGATATGGTGAGAGAATCTTGTGTACACTTCGGGGGCAAACACTCTAGGCAATAGCTAGATTAGAGGTTGTTTATGTCATTGAGCTGCAGGTGTCTCTGACATAAAGAAGGATCTAATGGGGCAGGGGGATATCTTCCTGTCTACTTTCCCACTATTTGTTATTTAATACAGTATGAATAAAGGAAACCCAAGTTGGTGGCCATATAGCAGCCTGACTTTAGGTGAATAACTCTGAGTTTTTTTCCATTTACCATGCTGCAGGCTTGCTGGAAATTGCCTTTATTTTGATTAGATGTGTTCCT